GAGACCAGGTGTTTATCAGACTGTACCTGAGACCAGGTGTTTGTCAGACTGTACCTGAGACCAGGTGTTTGTTACCTGAGATCAGGTGTTTATCAGACTGTACCTGAGATCAGGTGTTTGTTACCTGAGATCAGGTGTTTATCAGACTGTACCTGAGACCAGGTGTTTATCAGACTGTACCTGAGACCAGGTGTTTGTTACCTGAGATCAGGTGTTTATCAGACTGTACCTGAGACCAGGTGTTTGTTACCTGAGATCAGGTGTTCATCAGACTGTACCTGAGACCAGGTGTTTGTCAGACTGTACCTGAGACCAGGTGTTTGTTACCTGAGATCAGGTGTTTATCAGACTGTACCTGAGATCAGGTGTTTGTTACCTGAGATCAGGTGTTTATCAGACTGTACCTGAGACCAGGTGTTTATCAGACTGTACCTGAGACCAGGTGTTTGTCAGACTGTACCTGAGACCAGGTGTTTGTCAGACTGTACCTGAGACCAGGTGTTTGTTACCTGAGATCAGGTGTTTATCAGACTGTACCTGAGATCAGGTGTTTGTTACCTGAGATCAGGTGTTTATCAGACTGTACCTGAGACCAGGTGTTTGTTACCTGAGACCAGGTGTTTATCAGACTGTACCTGAGACCAGGTGTTTGTCAGACTGTACCTGAGACCAGGTGTTTGTCAGACTGTACCTGAGACCAGGTGTTTATTACCTGAGATCAGGTGTTTGTCAGACTGTACCTGAGACCAGGTGTTTGTTACCTGAGATCAGGTGTTTGTCAGACTGTACCTGAGATCAGGTGTTTGTTAGACTGTACCTGAGATCAGGTGTTTGTCAGACTGTACCTGAGACCAGGTGTTTGTCAGACTGTACCTGAGACCAGGTGTTTGTCAGACTGTACCTGAGACCAGGTGTTTGTCAGACTGTACCTGAGACCAGGTGTTTGTTACCTGAGATCAGGTGTTTCTCAGACAACATGATCTTGGTGACCGGGCTGCGGTGGACGGAGAAGGTCTGGAAGAGCTGCGGCCCCGAGCCGACCGTCTCCGGATGCTGAACGATGACTCGAACCGATCCCGAGCTCGTCCCGTACGCGATCTCGATCCAGTTCCCGCTGTCACCTGAACACACGAGCGACACGTTTCAGACACTCAGGTAACAAACAGGTTTCATGTCCAGAGGGGTCGGAGGTCTTACTGGTTTTGGGGGTCAGGTAAACACTGAGGGCCGTGATGGCGTCTTCAGTCGGGTCTCTGTACAGCTCGGTCACCAGCAGGTCGTTATCCTTCATCCTCAGAGGAAACTTCTGCACATCTGAAACAACCAATCAGGAAACAGAACAGTCAACAGTCAGTGTGTGTGTGTGTGTGTGTCTGTCTCTGTGTGTCTGTCTCTGTGTGTGTGACTATATGTATGTGTGTCTCTGTGTGTGTGTATCTCTGTGTGTGTGTGTCTGTGAGACTGTATGTATGTGTGTCTCTGTCTGTGTGTGTGTGTGTGTATCTCTGTGTGTGTGTGTCTGTGTGTGTGTGTGTGTGAGACTGTATGTATGTGTGTCTCTGTCTGTGTGTGTGTGTGTGTGTGTGTGTGTATCTCTGTGTGTGTGTGTGTCTGTCTCTGTGTGTGTGACTATATGTATGTGTGTCTCTGTGTGTGTGTCTGTGTGTGTGTGTGTGTGTGTGTGTGTGTGTCTCTGTGTGTGTGTCTGTCTCTGTGTGTGTGTGTGACTATATGTATGTGTGTCTCTGTGTGTGTGTGTGTCTGTGTGTGTGTGTGTGTGTCTGTGTGTGTGTGTGTGTGTGTGTGTGTGTGACGGTATGTATGTGTGTCTCTGTGTGTGTGTGTGTCTGTGTGTGTGTGTGTGTCTGTGTGTGTGTGTGTGAGACTGTATGTATGTGTGTGTGTGTGTGTGTGTGTGTGTGTCTGTGTCTCTGTGTGTGTGTGTGTGTCTGTGTCTCTCTGTGTGTATGTGTGTGTGTGTGTGTGTGTGTGTGTGTGTGTGTGTGTGTCTGTGTGTGTGTGACTGTATGTATGTATGTATGTGTGTGTGTGTGTGTCTGTGTGTGTGAGACTGTATGTATGTGTGTGTGTGTGTGTGTGTGTGTGTGTGTGAGACTGTGTGTGTGTGTGTCTCTGTGTGTGTCTCTGTGTGTGTGTGTGTGTGTGTGTGTGTGTGTGTGTGACTCACCTATATAATAAATTGAGCCGTTGTTGCAGCCCAGGATGAGGAAGGAGCCGGCCGTGTCGTAGCTGCTGATGGGAACAACGTCCTGATTCTGAAGGGAGACGACAGAGAGCGTAACACCGCCCCCCCCAAATCTGTGTTATAACACTTCACTCTGATTGGCTGTTTGCCATCCTAAACTAAACACCAGCTGATGGACAAAAATAAAACATGTTTACAAAGACTTTGAGTTGAGTGTGACTCCTCCCACCTGCCAGTGTTTGGTGACGGCGTTCCAAACCCCGACCTTCCCCGTGTGACTCGTGGCGATCAGCTGGTTACCGACGAAGAAGAGGGCCTCCACCGGCACGTTTAGACTGAAAACACCTGAAGAAGAAAAAAGGAGTTCAGAAAACATTTCTAAAACTTTGAAAGATAAAAAAAAAAAATCATCAAATTTTAATTCCTCCTTTGATTCTTCTTTAGACGATTTAACGACCAATCAGCAGAGACAACGTGCAACATGTGATGTGACACATGACTCATCACCAGTTTACTCAAATCAAAACACACTCATTAGAGGAAAAGGGTACGGGCCGCACCGATTTCGTTCCCGTTGCCGTCCGGACAGATCGCCCACAGGATGATCTCCGTCCCCGAGGCGACGGCCACCATCTTGTCGTTGTCTCCCAGCGAGCCGGCCATCACTTTGGCGTTGAGCGCGACTCGGTCGATGACCCAATCCAGACGAGGAGAGGTGAAGACCTGCTGCCAGCCGGTGGACTCCTTCACCCTGAGAGAGACAGAAGAGTCTGTGAATGACTACAGCAGCAACCAGCTGCACAACATCACGACAACACGGATTACTGTTTTCATATTTTAAAACAACAGAGCGAGGGGAGAAGGTCTGTGAGTGATCTAAAGGTCCTGACACACGAGGAGGTCGTCGCCATAGTTTTTGCGGTGTTTTTTTTGTGGCAGATTCGACATGTTGAATCTGCGGTCGGTGAGAGGAATCTCTCTGATTGGCTGTTCTGTTGTTTCATTTCTCTCCAGCTCTCCTCTCAGGTTCAGTAAAGCTCCTTGAGCATGTCTCTGTAGTCTCCATGCTTTCACCCATTAGTGTGGTTTCTCCTTATTGGTCTCCTCCTCCTCTTCTTTTCTTTTTCCACTAAAAGACCAAGAACTGACAACACCAGCAGCGTTTTCTACTTCTTATCAGACATTATTCTCCATTAGTAGACGACCTATAATACGAGTGGTGAGCGACAGCGGGGTGAAAACGGTCTTCTCGTATCATAAACAACGGACTACCGCCCCCTGCTGACATGGAGCGGTATTTCCTCTCACACGTAGACAGAGACGTACGTGGTGATTGGACGTCGTCTTTGTGGTGTAGGGTTAGTGCAAGATCTTACACAGATAAAACTAAATGCATATGCATAATGAACACCTTGTGGGTGAACTTTTCATGAGTTCTGAATGAATGTGGAGGAATCACATCCCTGTTGACCGAGTGATTATGAATGAACAGGTTTACCTGTAGCAGACGACAAACTGTGCGTAGGCCACAGCGATCCAGTTGTGGTGTCCGCAGATGATCCGAACCATGCCGGTGTCTGATAACTGACCTACAAACACACACACACACACACACACACATATTCAAAGACCTTTCTCTGGCTGTCATGTGGTTGTGTTATTCTGTGTTTGTGTGTGAGTGAGTGCTCTGTCTATAGATTGTTTTGGTTGTTATTTGGGCCGTAGTTCACCCTGAGCCATCTGTAGCTTCATTTGTTAATATTGCAGAGTGTGTGTGTGTGTGTGTGTGTGTGTGTGTGTGTTCACCTCCAGGCGTCCTCTCCTCCGTGCTCGCTCTGCCCAGTATCCCAGAGTTCCCCAGGTTGGGGGGCATCGTGTTGCTGCGTCTCACCGGCACTCGCTCTGCCGGCACGATTCGACCTGCCATGAACTGCGACCCCGCCACGCTGTGACGGTTACGACGCTTCGCCGGGTACACTGGGAAGACCACAGACAGGAAGTGAGGTCACAGATTGGAGAACAGACATTTTGTAAGTGTTAAGGGACTGTGTTATTGTTATTGTGTTATTGAAAAGACACAAATAGAGACGTGTGTGTGTGTTGTATGAAACCCCGCCCCCATGTGGCCCCGGTGTGTGTGTGTGTGTGTGTGTGTGTGTGTGTGTGTGTGTGTGTGTGTGTGTGTGTGTGGTTGTACCTGGTGGAGGCAGGTAGCCGTTAAACAGCACGTTTCCACAGGACGATCGGTCCAGCTCGTCACACAGCTGCAGCTTACGCACTAAAATAAAAACAAACATGAACATTTAGAAAACAGATCAGAATTAGATTTTAGCGAGCGCACGTCGACTTCTCTGCGAGTCTCACCCAGCGGCGTGATGCCGTAAAACTCGGCCTCGTGCATGAGCATGTGCACGTTGATGGTGCGGGGGTACAGCTCTTTGGTCCGCAGGAAGTTGAGGATGGTGGCGAACAGCGAGGGGTCTCTGTCGATGAAGATCTACGGTGGGAGAGGAGGGACAAGATGTCAGAACTTCATCACTGAGAGGTCATTAAAAAACAAATCCTCGATACTCACCGCTCCAGTTTCATCCTTCAGAGTCGAGATGCGACCGCTCAAAAGACTGAGGAGAGAAACACAAAGCATCTGTTAGAGATCAAACACACGGCAGGGAGCTCTAACGGTACAGGACGTCACACTGCTAACCCTAACCCGGATTTATTTACTGACCTGGAGAAAAAGGAGTCAGGAACCCACGTCAGCGTCTGTCGGGACGTGCTGAACCTACAAACAAACAAACAAACAAACAACTCCTCATTAACTCTTCTCTAAAAGCATAGTTTAAAATGTTTTGATTTATTAATCTCATTAGGATAGGATAGGTTAATACTTTATTGATCCCCAGAGGGGAAATTCGGGCGTTGCAGCAGCACAGACAAGTAAGCTCAAAATACAAAATACACATTAAACAGAATAGAGAAGATAAATAAAAATAAAAACAGAGGGTATATACAAGTACAAAATGAATGATGAAGTTAACTATGCAGGGAATTGAGACAGTATTTGTAGAGAATGACAAGATAAAGTGACAAGTGATGATTAAAGTGATTTGGTAACATCAATAGCAGCAAGTAATGTAAACAGCAGAGAAGAGAGGCAGTGTTGTACCACAGTGATGCAGAGTGCAGTTATATAGTATAATGTAGTATAATATAATATAATATAATGTAGTATAATATAATATTATATAATATAGACTAATATAATTACATAATAAAATATATAGAATGTACAGTATATGTATATATATATTGATGCTAAATAATAATAATAATAATAATAATAATACAATGTTAGTAATGATTATGTCAGGATTACAGCGATCTAAAAAGAAAAACGTCTGAAATTAAATCTTTTTCACTGGAAAACAAGTTTTCAAAAGATATCAAGATAATAAGAGCGGATCTCGTTATCTCGTTAAGACTGGAGAATAAAATAAAATGTACTGATGTGTGTCCGCTTTGGGCTTCCGTACAACACACTGTTATTCTAATACTTTCAGACCTAAATAGTATACTTTAAAATGAAATGCATGTTTTTAACTTTAAAACTAAGCTGAAAACATAAAAAAGTTTGACTGCTGAAAGATAAATGTTTCTCACAGGACAGAGTTTAATGCTGCTGCGGACAAAGTACAACAGGTGAACTTACACTGTGATTAAATCATAAGCTAAATATTACCATAACATTTACAGTTATTTATCTTTTGTTTTAGCGAATTTATTTCAGAATACAATCAGAGTATCTTAACTTTTCCTCTTTAACTTTTAAACTTGCACATTTAGTTTAAATGTGCAAGTTTAAACACATTTAAACTTGCACATTAACTAAATCACAAGTTTAGTGCTTATCGCTGGTGTTATGGTTCAAAGTGTGACCGTGTTAACTGGAGACTTTCAGCCGAGCGGTACGGCTGAAAGTCTCCAGTTAACACGGTCACACTTTGAACCATAACACCGGACACGATAGTAAGATTTGGGTAAACTTATAAATAAAAAAGCTTGTTTAATGAATGAAGTGGTTTTTATAACGGAGTTAAACATGATGTAAAGGTTTTGTTTCACTTCATCGGTGCAACATGAACGACAACAAACGGCTCTTTAGTAGCTTTGTTCCCGGTTAGCTTGTTAGCTTGTTAGCTTTGACACTCCTCACCTCTTCCCTCCGACATTCAGGTGGATGATGTCTCCACTCCTCGCCGTGTGAGACATCATCTCTTAAATCAGATACTCCAACAGTCCGAGCCTCCAAATACAATAACAACACTTTCGATTTTTAATCCATATTTAGAATAAATTCAGTTTCCGTTGTTGTTATAGACCAACTTCCTGTGTCCCAAAGAGTCAGAGGGCAGAGAGAAACCCCGGGGTGGATCAGGAACAAGAGTCGGACTGGGATAAACCCCGGACTGGAGTCTCAGACTGGACCAGGGACCCGTTTCAGTAAGTCAGTTAAGCCTGAAATGAGGGAAATTCACCGTTTCCCTGAATAAAAATCCAAGTTTTTTAATATTTATTATTTATATAATATCATATTTTATTTGTTTTCAACAAATCTCACATTTCTCTACCAGAACTCCTACACCACTTCTCTCTCTGCTGCTGCAGCAGTGTGATTTGTTTTGGCTGATTCTCACTTATTTTTTTTGTTTTTAAGATTTGTTTTGTGCTTTTTGTTCCTTTATTGTAGAGACAGGACAGTGGATAGAGTCTGAAACCAGAGAGAGAGAGGACAGTGGATAGAGTCAGAAACCAGAGAGAGAGAGAGGACAGTGGATAGAGTCAGAAACCAGAGAGAGAGAGAGGACAGTGGATAGAGTCAGAAACCAGAGAGAGAGAGGACAGTGGATAGAGTCAGAAACCAGAGAGAGAGAGAGGACAGTGGATAGAGTCTGAAACCAGAGAGAGAGAGGACAGTGGATAGAGTCTGAAACCAGAGAGAGAGAGGACAGTGGATAGAGTCAGAAACCAGAGAGAGAGAGAGGACAGTGGATAGAGTCAGAAACCAGAGAGAGAGAGAGAGAGGACAGTGGATAGAGTCAGAAACCAGAGAGAGAGAGGACAGTGGATAGAGTCTGAAACCAGAGAGAGAGAGGACAGTGGATAGAGTCAGAAACCAGAGAGAGAGAGAGAGGACAGTGGATAGAGTCTGAAACCAGAGAGAGAGGACAGTGGATAGAGTCTGAAACAGAGAGAGAGAGAGGAGGACAGTGGATAGAGTCTGAAACCAGAGAGAGAGAGAGGACAGTGGATAGAGTCTGAAACCAGAGAGAGAGAGAGAGGACAGTGGATAGAGTCTGAAACCAGAGAGAGAGAGGACAGTGGATAGAGTCAGAAACCAGAGAGAGAGAGAGAGGACAGTGGATAGAGTCTGAAACAGAGAGAGAGAGGACAGTGGATAGAGTCAGAAACCAGAGAGAGAGAGGACAGTGGATAGAGTCAGAAACCAGAGAGAGAGAGAGAGGACAGTGGATAGAGTCAGAAACCAGAGAGAGAGAGGACAGTGGATAGAGTCTGAAACAGAGAGAGAGAGGACAGTGGATAGAGTCAGAAACCAGAGAGAGAGAGAGAGAGGACAGTGGATAGAGTCTGAACCAGAGAGAGAGAGAGGACAGTGGATAGAGTCTGAACCAGAGAGAGAGAGAGAGGACAGTGGATAGAGTCTGAAACCAGAGAGAGAGAGGACAGTGGATAGAGTCAGAAACCAGAGAGAGAGAGGAGGACAGTGGATAGAGTCTGAAACAGGGAGAGAGAGGACAGTGGATAGAGTCAGAAACCAGGGAGAGAGAGAGGACAGTGGATAGAGTCTGAAACCAGAGAGAGAGAGAGAGACAGTGGATAGAGTCTGAAACAGAGAGAGAGGACAGTGGATAGAGTCTGAAACCAGAGAGAGAGAGAGGACAGTGGATAGAGTCTGAAACCAGAGAGAGAGGACAGTGGATAGAGTCTGAAACAGAGAGAGAGAGAGAGGACAGTGGATAGAGTCTGAAACCAGAGAGAGAGAGGACAGTGGATAGAGTCTGAAACCAGAGAGAGAGAGAGAGGACAGTGGATAGAGTCTGAACCAGAGAGAGAGGACAGTGGATAGAGTCTGAAACCAGAGAGAGAGAGAGGACAGTGGATAGAGTCAGAAACCAGAGAGAGAGAGAGAGGACAGTGGATAGAGTCAGAAACCAGAGAGAGAGAGAGAGACAGTGGATAGAGTCTGAAACCAGAGAGAGAGAGAGACAGTGGATAGAGTCTGAAACCAGAGAGAGAGGACAGTGGATAGAGTCAGAAACCAGAGAGAGAGAGAGGAGAGTGGATAGAGCCAGAAACCAGAGAGAGAGAGAGGACAGTGGATAGAGACTGAAACCAGAGAGAGAGAGAGAGGACAGTGGATAGAGTCAGAAACCAGAGAGAGAGAAGGACAGTGGATAGAGTTAGAAACCAGAGAGAGAGAGGACAGTGGATAGAGTCAGAAACCAGAGAGAGAGGACAGTGGATAGAGTGAAACCAGAGAGAGAGGACAGTGGATAGAGTCAGAAACCAGAGAGAGAGAGGACAGTGGATAGAGTCAGAAACCAGAGAGAGAGAGGACAGTGGATAGAGTCAGAAACCAGAGAGAGAGAGGACAGTGGATAGAGTCAGAAACCAGAGAGAGAGAGGACAGTGGATAGTCAGAAATCAGAGAGAGAGGAGGACAGTGGATAGAGTCAGAAATCAGAGAGAGAGAGGACAGTGGATAGAGTCAGAACAGAGAGAGAGGACAGTGGATAGAGTCTGAAACCAGAGAGAGAGAGGACAGTGGATAGAGTCTGAAACCAGAGAGAGAGGACAGTGGATAGAGTCTGAAACCAGAGAGAGAGGAGCAGTGGATAGAGTCTGAAACCAGAGAGAGAGAGGACAGTGGATAGAGTCTGAACAGAGAGAGAGAGAGAGGACAGTGGATAGAGTCTGAAACAGAGAGAGAGAGGACAGTGGATAGAGTCTGAAACCAGTGAGAGAGAGAGGGACAGTGGATAGAGTCTGAAACCAGAGAGAGAGAGGACAGTGGATAGAGTCTGAAACCAGTGAGAGAGAGAGAGGACAGTGGATAGAGTCTGATAAACCGAGAGAGAGAGGACAGTGGATAGAGTCTGAAACCAGAGAGAGAGAGAGAGGAAGTGGATAGAGTCAGAACCAGTGAGAGAGAGAGAGGACAGTGGATAGAGTCAGAAACCAGAGAGAGAGAGAGGACAGGTGGATAGAGTCAGAAACCAGAGAGAGAGAGAGGACAGTGGATAGAGTCAGAAACCAGAGAGAGAGAGAGGACAGTGGATAGATCTGAAACAGGAGAGAGAGAGGACAGTGGATAGAGTCAGAAACCAGAGAGAGAGAGGACAGTGGATAGAGTCAGAAAAGAGAGAGAGAGGACAGTGGATAGAGTCTGAAACCAGAGAGAGAGAGAGGACAGTGGATAGAGTCAGAAACCAGAGAGAGAGAGGGACAGTGATAGAGTCAGAAACCAGAGAGAGAGAGGACAGTGGATAGAGTCAGAAACCAGAGAGAGAGAGAGGAAGTGGATAGAGTCTGAAACCAGAGAGAAGAGAGGACAGTGGATAGAGTCAGAAACCAGAGAGAGAGAGAGAGACAGTGGATAGAGTCTGAAACCAGAGAGAGAGAGGACAGTGGATAGAGTCAGAAACAGAGAGAGAGAGGACAGTGGATAGAGTCAGAAACCAGAGAGAGAGAGAGGACAGTGGATAGAGTCAGAAACCAGAGGAGAGAGGACAGTGGATAGAGTCAGAACAGGAGAGAGAGAGAGGAGTGGATAGAGTCTGAAAAGAGAGAGAGAGAGGACAGTGGATAGAGTCAGAAACCAGAGAGAGAGAGAGAGGACAGTGGATAGAGTCAGAAACCAGAGAGAGAGAGAGGACAGTGGATAGAGTCTGAAACCAGAGAGAGAGAGGACAGTGGATAGAGTCAGAAACCAGAGAGAGAGAGGACAGTGGATAGAGTCAGAAACCAGGAGAGAGAGGACAGTGGATAGAGTCAGAAACCAGAGAGAGAGAGAGGACAGTGGATAGAGTCAGAAACCAGAGAGAGAGAGAGGACAGTGGATAGAGTCTGAAACCAGAGAGAGAGAGGAGGACAGTGGATAGAGTAGAAACAGAGAGAGAGAGGACAGTGGATAGAGTCAGAAACCAGAGAGAGAGAGGACAGTGATAGAGTCTGAAACCAGAGAGAGAGAGAGGACAGTGGATAGAGTCAGAAACCAGTGAGGAGAGAGAGAGACAGTGGATAGAGTCTGAAACCAGAGAGAGAAGGACAGTGGATAGAGTCAGAAACCAGTGAGAGAGAGAGGACAGTGGATAGAGTCTGAACAGAGAGGAGAGGGGACAGTGGATAGAGTCAGAAACCAGAGAGAGAGAGAGAGGACAGTGGATAGAGTCAGAAACCAGAGAGGAGAGGACAGTGGATAGAGTCAGAAACCAGAGAGAGAGAGGGACAGTGGATAGAGTCAGAAACCAGAGAGAGAGGGACAGTGGATAGAGTCAGAAAGAGAGAGAGAAGGACAGTGGATAGAGTCGAAACCAGAGAGAGAGAGAGACAGTGGATAGAGTCAGAAACC